AAACTTACAGTGCTTCCCCTCCCCCACTCACACTGTAACCACCGCGTGTCATTCACTGTCATCGCTCTGATATGAAGTATTCAGGCATCAGATCAGAAAAACATGAAATGCAGTAAGGATATGATATTTATACACACGAATTGTACCTTTATATCAATCATACAGCATCACCACCATGTGCAGGCGATGAGTCACAATAACGTGGCTGAAGTATGTTGACCAGACGACACACTAGAAGTTGAAGGGACGACGACGTTTCGGTCCGTCCTGGACCATTCTCAAGTCGATTGTGACTTGAGATTGTGAATGGTCAAGTCGATTGACCATTCACAATCGACTTGAGAATGGTCCAGGACGGACCGAAACGTCGTTGTCCTTTCAACTTCTAGTGTGTGGTCTGGTCAACAATCACCACCATCACCACCTTACTCCAGCAGTCATCCACACCACCACCACCTTACTCCAGCAGTCATCCACACCACCACCACCACTCCAGCAGTCATCCACACCACCACCACCACACTCCAGCAGTCATCCACACCACCACCACCACCACACTCCAGCAGTCATCCACACCACCACCACCTTACTCCAGCAGTCATCCACACCACCACCACACTCCAGCAGTCATCCACACCACCACCACCACCACACTCCAGCAGTCATCCACACCACCACCACCACACTCCAGCAGTCATCCACACCACCACACAAGACCAGGTGTACAGGACTCATTGTGACTCACCATATTCAGTGCAAAGTAATACAGTTCACTCCTTACAAACCGGTTCCACCCAGCCTTGTTGTGGTATCATATCACTTATGTTAATCACCCAACACTGCTACAATCACCCAACGCGGCTACAATCACCCAACACGGCTACAATCACCCAACACGGCTATACACACAGATCATTATCTCCATTATTTGGCATCATATCAATAGACATTTCTAGTGTTTATATATAATTCAGTTATAATGACCGTCCGTATAATGACCATAGTTATAATGACAGTAGTTATAATATGACTACCATTATGCCATTCTTTTCCCAGTATAAATTAATAAAGGTAAATTTTGTAGAGTTTATAACTACACAAGGACTACAGTGTGAAGATTGTGACTATATAATGAACAATGACTTTAGCCTCCCCCCTGTATACCCGCTTGTTCAGTGTAGTGTATGTTGTATGTATACATTACGTTTATTAGTAGTAGTCAATGATAACCTCTTGACACGACCTCAACTATACACTCTTCACTATTACTATACTGTGACGACTACTGCTACAACTGACTACTATGACTACTGATACTATTACTATACTCAGGAAACTACATTAAATTAAATTAATCAATGCTGAAAGATTTAAGCACACGCCACCACCACATGAGGAGGGGGGGGGGGGGGCAGGAGGGTGCAGGGGCCAAGCCAGGCTTTTTGGGGGGGGGAGGGGCTTGGGGCGCCAGACCCCCCCCCACTCCCCTCGACGCCAGATAGCGTCACGGCCTAGTCACCTCACAGGCCTACAATGCCATACAACCTATGAAAATTACATCCATAGGCCGTGCCAGGCCCAAAAAAAGGATCATGCAATATAAATTCAGTGTATTTGTATTTCCTTTCTGTGAAAAGCCTATGCAACCCAGACCGACAGTAAAGAGGCAAAGGTTGCCTGCAATGCGTCAAAGTGCACCCAGCGGACGGTATCAGGAGTGAACCCCCAGACAATGTAAGATTATAGAGCCCGGCCCAGCAGCTAGAACCCAACCACACAAGCAGAGACAGTCAGTAGAGGCTCGGAATTTAAACCCTTGGCGTTGTATGTAGCATGACGAACCTGTATCCTATGAAATGAGGATTTTGCTAACACAGCTGGTTCAGAATTATTTCATCACCACACTTTCTTCCTTTGCCATTTATACAGCTGCCCTAGACTATATGAAGGGTTGCACATTGTGTGTCAAGAGCCAGCTGTGTGATACTAAGGTACCTGGACATTTATACACCTGCCCTAGACTATATGAAGGGTTAAACAGTGTGTGTCAAGAGCCAGCTGTGTGATACTAAGGTACCTCGACATTTATACACCTGCCCTAGACTATATGAAGGGTTACAAAGTGTGTGTCAAGAGCCAGCTGTGTGATACTAAGGTACCTGGACATTTATACACCTGCCCTAGACTATATGAAGGGTTACACACTGTGTGTCAAGAGAAACTATGTAATCCTTTATATAGTCTAGGGAAGCTGCATAAATGGCCAGGTTCGTATATGACTTAAATACTTATTTTTACTTGGGGGTATTTGATGCCAGGTCCGAGTAGATAGTATTTTAGAAAAAGCTTTCTTGTGATGCTGAAAGGCTGAGAGCACATGCTGACTATCACATAAAAGGCCTAAATAAATGCCAGACGCGTCAGCCCATTTATCAGGAAGTCTCATGACATACAACACAAGCAAAGCCACGAGCCATATTATTAAACAAAAAATCGTTTACCTCTTTGGAGTTGTTGGCGGGGTGTGGCGTGGAGGCCTCTGTGGTGGTAGGCTGTGCAGGGGAGGTGGTGGGGGGTGTGGGGTTCAGAGGGGAGGTGGGGGGAGTGGGGTTCAGAGGGGAGGTGGGGGGTGTGGGGTTAAGGGGGGAGGTGGGGGCGCACGCGTCAGCACGCGCGGCCTGAGCCGCCATCAGCCGCGAAACAGTCTCCCCGAACCCCACACCTCCGGAGGCTGTCCGTTGAGTCAGTCGGGAGAAGAGCTCGGCTGAGGTTATAGAGGAGCCGGACTCTGGCGTCGAGGGCGGTTGAGGCTCCTCCTTCAAGGGTGGCTCCTCCTCCTCCACGTTGTCCAGCGACGGTGGCGGCGACAGCGGCGCCACATCAAAGTCCTGTAGCATCACAACACACACACCTTACTGACACCCAAGACGACCATTGTTGTATGTTCATGTTGGCGTCTGAACCCGATAGTGTCGTGAGAGGAGAGAGAGTGTCACATTCCCCACACTCCTATATTTGTCCTTTGTCTCAATGTCCCTTCACGCATGTTCTTAATGCTCTGTTTTACTCTTCAGGGTATTAAACCAAACTACTTCTGGCTCCTAACAGCAGGCTGATAGCGTTCCCGTCCCATAGCTCATGGTAAGCCTTACCCCTACTAGTTTTACACACAGGTGGGTACAGGAGCAGACGACTGCTGACTTCTCTTAGCAGGCTCATAGTGTCCCCTTCCCATAGCTTATGGTAAGCCTTACCCCTACTAGTTTTACACACAGGTGGGTACAGGAGCAGACGACTGCTGACTTCTCTTAGCAGGCTCATAGCGTCCCCTTCCCATAGCTTATGGTAAGCCTTACTGACTAATTTTCCCTGGTACATGACTCGTCAATCTGTTTACAAGCAGGGCTATTCTCGCTCGCGAAGTGTGCAGGGTGAAGGCGCTATCCACTTCACCACAGGAAGCTGTCCAGAAAATTTGAAAATGCATTTACAGGCTAATTCTTATCTGCAAAGAAGTTCTACACATCGTTGCTAGTACTTAGTCTGTCCCTATCCCCTGTCCTAAGGCAGGAAAAATGGGAGTGCCACACGCGTCTACCCGCCAGTGGTGAGAGTGCATGTCCACGCCACAGGTGTGTCAAGCCGAAAAGTCATTCCAGGGCGTCGAAGTTCAATATTGGCTTATTAAACCGACAGAAAATGTGTACTATTTAAGCTAACTGTAACACTGAGGATTCACCTTCCATAAATGATTAAATAAAAATGACTCTGTGGCCTCACGAAGTACATAAATGTAGTTAAGATATACTTCGCTGTGATTACCTCCCAACATTTTACCCCTTTAACATATCCTACCCTAACCTGACCTAACAATCTATTTGTTCTGGGCGAATGGACTGTCACAAGTCAGGTAGGCTTGGGTTATTATGACATTAAACGAGGAGAAAACCCATAGTGCATTATTTTTTTTTTTTTTTTTTTTTTTTTTTTGCCAAAGTACATTCTCGTACTAAAGAGTGAGCTAACAAGTTCAAAATGACGACATTAACCTTGAGACAGGTAAGTACTCAATTACAAGTTTGAAAATAGTGTAGTTTTTAATTAGTGGCCATTGTGTAATTTCGTACTAATGACTTTGGCATAATTGTGAGCTTGGTAATCTGGAGGTGACTAAGCAGCCGTCTATGTGAGCACCACACACCATCGACCTAGAAACACAAGGCCACGAAAAGCTTCCTAACAGCAACACCTCAGATCACGAACTTGTCCACGTCTTACGGATATTCAGGTGTGTGTGGAGTGTATACAGGTGCGTGTGGAATGTGTACAGGGGTGTGGAGTGTGTGTGAACTGTGTACACGTGTATGGAGTGCGCGCGCGCGCCATAATCATCATAACTACAGTGATTTCTAAAAACTAAGAATCTATACTACAAAAATTCTAGTTTCCGTTACCATAAATAAACATCGTACATAATTTCAGCTACCGTCCTCACGAGAATTATTACACAAGTTACACAATTAAAATGTCAAATCATTAGTGCACAAAACATTACTTACAGGTATTGGCTTACTAGACAACTTTAGTAACAGGTTAAACACTACAGACTACATGACCGAATGTGAGAGGTTATGACTACTATACGTGAGGATGAACTGGTTTCGGACGGGGGCTTCTAGGTAGTTGGAGGGGGGAGGGGGTCATGGACGTGGGAATACCAGGAGGGGGGGGTCAAGGAAGGGGGGGGGTTCAAGGAAGGGGGGGGGTTCAAGGAAGGGGGGGGGGTTCAAGGAAGGGGGTGGCGTTCAAGGAAGGGGGGGTTCAAGGAAGGGGGGGGTTCAAGGAAGGGGGGTTCAAGGAAGGGGGGGTTCAAGGAAGGGGGGGTTCAAGGAAGGGGGGTTCAAGGAAGGGGGGGTTCAAGGAAGGGGGGGTTCAAGGAAGGGGGGGTTCAAGGAAGGGGGGGTTCAAGGAAGGGGGGGGTTCAAGGAAGGGGGGGGGTTCAAGGAAGGGGGGGGTTCAAGGAAGGGGGGGTGGTTCAAGGAAGGGGGGGGTTCAAGGAAGGGGGGGGGGTTCAAGGAAGGGGGGGGTTCAAGGAAGGGGGGGGGGGTTCAAGGAAGGGGGGGGGTTCAAGGAAGGGGGGGGGGGTTCAAGGAAGGGGGGGGGGTTCAAGGAAGGGGGGGGGGTTCAAGGAAGGGGGGTTTCAGGTGGGCGGTTAAGACTCACGGTTCGTGGGGACTGGTGAAGGTGCGGCAGGAAAGGTCGCTGACGGCGGGGTGGACGAGATGTCGCCTCCTCATGTTCACTGGGTTCACTCTCTTCACTCTCACTGCTCCCTCCCACCTGCACCATAGACAACAGTTAACTCTCCCTCCCACCTGCACCATAGACAACAGTTAACTCTCCCTCCCACCTGCACCATAGACAACAGTTAACTCTCCCTCCCACCTGCACCATAGACAACAGTTAACTCTCCCTCCCACCTGCACCATAGACAACAACTACTAACTACACTACCAACCACCAGTAACATCTCCAGACTATGCTTATTAGTTTGATCTAAAAAGATTATACATCACTGAGCTCTAAAGATCGACTAAACATGATGATAATATGATGTCTAACCTTCAAGTTAACCTAAAAGGTAACTAACCTTCGAGTTAAGAAATGAATGAAAAAATCCTATAACACACAATATTATATTCAGAGACTATTATCTTCTGCCGGGACAACTGGGCCAGGATTCAATCAACCACTTACGAAACCTGTACATCTTTCCTCAGTCATGGCGGCTTTGTTTACATTTATTATGCAGTTTATGAGCTCCGAAGAACTACGAGGTTGTTTATAACAATTATAACCTCGGGTTGTCAAGTTTCCAAGCTCGAAAACTATGGAATACATGTAAACAAAGCCACGATTTAGAAATGATGTAAAGGTTTCGTAAGAGGTTGTGTCATGGTTGTTGACTCCTGGGTCTGGATATTGCCACTAAGCAACACTTACATTATCCTGTAATAACAGCTTGACTCAGAAACAGAAACCTGTTCAAAATCAATCTTGACTACACTAAGCTGAGCCTTGACCAAGCTATGCATAATTTTGATCAACCTACTCGGGGCTGTGACCAAGCTATGCATGACCTGGACAAAGATATGCAGGGCATTGACCAAGCTACACAGGGTCTTGGACAACGGACAACTTGTACCATTACCTAAACGACGTATTGTAATATAAAGTTATCGTAGTAGATAGTACACTAAGTGCTCATGTCTAGCAATGCTTACACTAAGAGAAAAGCTAATAAACTGTGTAAGTGATTGTAAACCTGTAACTAACCTGAGGGGAGGAGTAACTAACCTGAGGGGAGGAGGAGGAGTAACTCACCTGAGGGGTTAGTTACCTAGCTCTGTTACCTAGCAGTAAAATAGGTACCTGGGTGTTAGTCAGCTGTCACGGGCTGCTTCCTGGGGGTGGAGGCCTGGTCGAGGACCGGGCCGCGGGGACACTAAAGCCCTGAAATCATCTCAAGATAACCTCAAGAAGGAAGAGGAGGAGGAGGAGGAGGAGGAGTAACTAACCTGAGGGGAGGAGGAGGAGTAACTAACCTGAGGGGAGGAGGAGGAGTAACTAACCTGAGGGGAGGAGGAGGAGTAACTAACCTGAGGGGAGGAGGAGGAGTAACTAACCTGAGGGGAGGAGGAGGAGTAACTAACCTGAGGGGAGGAGGAGGAGTAACTAACCTGAGGGGAGGAGGAGGAGTAACTCACCTGAGGGGAGGAGTAGTTGTAACTCACCTGAGGGGAGGAGGAGGAGTAACTAACCTGAGGGGAGATGGTAGCGAGGCCAGTTCGTCGTAACTTCTCCTCGCCGGTCCTCTTGGTGGTTGGCCTGGAAGACACAAGCAGTTAGAACACATCCTGGTGGCCCCACAATCACCCACAACAATCACCCACACCACCGGCCTACAATCAACATTTCATTCTCAAACACAATGAATTCTAATCTTCCTCAAGCTCAAAATAGTGACAAAATTATCAACATTTAAAAGAAATTCAGTAATACAGCAATAACGGTAAATTATTAATATCCACAAATTAATAATAATTTGTCATCCACACTTCTGTGGAAATAAACAATTCATTCACCTGGGTTCTGGGAGACTCGAACCCCGGAACCCCAGGTCTGCGAGGTACATCGAGGCTCTATCCACTCAGCTATGAGTAGCCTTATTAAGGAAAAGATTCCAGACGCAACTACTGCCGTCTTCCCCCCCCCCCCCTGGCTACTACTGGATAGAGCCTCCATCTGCCTCTCACACCTGGGGGGGGGGGGGGGTTCGAGCCTCCTACAGCCCAGGTGGATAAAATAAAATAATAAGCGAATTTACGGATGAAAAGCAACATTAAGACAGGTGGATATAGTGGCTGGGTTGGTTAGACTTCACTCTCCCTCTGGCTGAAAGAGTAAGACAGAGAGAGGCAGAGAGAGAGAGAGGCAGAGAGAGAGAGAGGCAGAGAGAGAGAGAGGCAGAGAGAGAGAGAGAGGCAGAGAGAGAGACAGAGGCAGACAGAGAGACAGAGGCAGACAGAGAGAGAGAGGCAGAGAGAGAGACAGAGGCAGAGAGAGAGACAGAGGCAGAGACAGAGACAGAGACAGAGGCAGAGACAGAGACAGAGGCAGAGAGAGACAGAGACAGAGGCAGAGAGAGGCAGAGACAGAGGCAGAGAGAGGCAGAGACAGAGGCAGAGAGAGGCAGAGACAGAGACAGAGAGAGGCAGAGAGAGAGAGAGGCAGAGAGAGAGAGGCAGAGAGAGAGAGAGAGAGAGAGAGAGAGAGAGAGAGAGAGAGAGAGACAGAGAGAGAGAGAGAGGAGAGAGAGAGAGAGTGAGAGAGAGAGAGAGGCAGAGAGAGAGAGAGGCAGAGAGAGAGAGAGGCAGAGAGAGAGAGAGGCAGAGAGAGAGAGAGGCAGAGAGAGAGAGAGGCAGAGAGAGAGAGAGGCAGAGAGAGAGAGAGACAGGGGCAGAGAGAGACAGGGGCAGAGAGAGACAGGGGCAGAGAGAGACAGAGGCAGAGAGAGACAGAGGCAGAGAGAGACAGAGGCAGAGAGAGACAGAGGCAGAGAGAGACAGAGGCAGAGAGAGACAGAGGCAGAGAGAGACAGGCAGAGACACACAGGCAGAGACATTGACACAGACAAAGACAGAGAGGCAGAGACAGAGAGAGAAAGCCAGCGTACGTAGTGTGAAAAGGGTGAGAGTCACACTTACCTGGGCACTTCCTAGTGTGAGCAACATAATACAGAGGGGTGAGGAGGAGAGTGAAACACAGGTTACTCGACACCATCAATATATTCTCACCTAACCTCCACACACACAATCTTCACAATATAAACCTCACCAATACACATCGTGTTCAAATATAAAAACCTTATAGAATACAATCAGAATAGATTATCTCACTGTATAATAAATATATCGACTATAGAAATATTAGCTTTAAAGGTCGGAAATAGAAATTGGTCTCAAATAGGATACAACCTGTTTATCCAGCATTGGGGGGGGGGGATAAACACACTAATGTGTTTAGGACAGACAACAATAGATGCTTCTTCACCCACAGGGTTATAAACCCCATGGAACCGCCTACCCGCCGAAGCCGTCAAATGCCGAGGCATTTCTGCAGTTTAATATTCAGCTGGAGAAAAAAAAATCCCCGGGAACAATGTGGCGGGGTCTTTGGACAAGCCACCGGCTTCCTGTCCCCCGTCGAGGCCATAGATATTCCTAACTCGGGTAAATATACGACTCATTCATAGAATGGAGTGTGATCTAAATACTGTTACATCTACCTTTGCTATTCACATCACAGAGGTCATTAACATCTCCGGCACGCAATATTGTTATGCTGATGAGCGCAGTCTCTGGCACCAGGGCGGGACATTAGGAGCAGCTCCACCATACAAGGCTCACTTGTGGGGGGTCGACGCTAGTGGGGAGGCGATCAGGCAGCCACCTCCACTACCAGTCCTTCCTTGTGTACACACACACACACCCTTCCCTACGACTACCCTACACCCCCTCCCCAACACACGCGCGCGCGACACACACACAGAGACAGAGACAGAGAGAGAGACAGAGAGAGAGAGACAAACACAGAGAGAGACAGAAAGGGAGAGAGAGAAAGGGAGAGAGAGAAAGGGAGAGAGAGAGAAAGGGAGAGAGAGAGAAAGGGAGAGAGAGAGAGGGAGAGAGAGAGAGGGGGAGAGAGAGAGAGGGGGAGAGAGAGAGAGGGACAGAGACAGAGAGAACTGGTGGTGTTACCTCTGGTCCAGCCGCCAAACTCGTCACCACCTGTGCTGGAATATGCAACACCTTCACTACAGGACAATATAAACCACGGCAGTGAAATGCCCTGTAGACGCCGGTGCTAAGCAACACAAGTATTGTAGTTACAACTCTGGGCAGGGATTCATCAAGCATTTACGCATTCATTTGCGAAACCTGTACATCTTTCCAGTCAAGGTGCATTTGTTTATGAGCTCTCAGGGACTATGAGGTTGTTTATAACAATAATAACCCCGGGTTGTAAAGTTTCCAAGCTCGTAAACTGTTTAATATAAACAAAGCCGCCATAATTAAGGTATAGATGTACAGGTTTCGTAAACCTTTTTGAGCACACATCTGATGAGTGTGTGATGAATGAGCAGTTGCACTTGCATTCTTATATCTCGTGACTTGCAGGTTCTAGTCATGTGATCGAGCAGGCTGTGTGGGCCAGCTACCTGTCCTCACTTCTCTAAGTACTAATAATTGATCTAAACCTTTCAAGGTTATGCTTGACAACGTCTCGTCCAGACCACAGCTCAAAGGTAAGGAAAACAAATCAATTTTGTAAGTTTGTGTGTGTGATTCTTGGAGAGAGAAAAGAGAGAATGTGGAAAAGAAAGAAAGATATGATATATTATATTATATTATATTATATTATATTATATTATATATATATATATATATTATATATATTATATATATATATATATATATATATTATATATATTATATATATATATATTATATATATTATATATATATATATATTATATATATTATATATATATATATATATATATATATATATATATATATTATATATATATATATATATATATATATATATATATATATATATATATATATATATATATATATATATATATATATATATATATATATATATATATATATATATATATATAAAAGGTGGAAACAGAAAACGAGCTTTGTGGAGTGGTGTTGTGTAGCGTGAGACCATAGCACGAGAAGGGGAGTTGAGAGGGGGTACTGAAGAAGATGAGAAGCAAGAACACTCGCTACAAACACAAGCGGCGCATCTCCGGTTAATGTACTAATACAATTCTAACCCAACGGCAATCAAATACAAAAAAATACAAAAAAAATCCCTCGACTGCGAGAAACTTCAATTTTTTTTTTTTAATATTCTTGACTAGAATGTGAGAGGGGTTGTGTCAGGCAGGCAGTAGGAGGGGGTAGGGGGGGTGTGTGTGTGTCTTGAAGTGTCCCTAGGACCCGAGGTAGACGGCCGGCAACTGCATCATGGGCTGTGATTCTCTCCACATATGACAGCGAGGCACTATACATCGTCAAACTCCATTACAGTACTTTTAAGCATGTGTTTCACCGCAATATAAACATAAGCACCTACAATTTACATATTGTGCAATATCCCTGCCACTTGCTACTCTTCTTGTGCAACTGACACTGCTGTACTCTCTTTGTCCGATAACGCAGCAGCGTCCTTGGCTAGTGGGTCGTGGTGTTCGGGTAGCACGGGGAGCAAAGAGGGCGAAAGACGCCTTTGTGCATGACCGTTGAAGTTACCACAGGAGAATGCCTGAGTCCAGGTTTCATCCTGCGGGGAATCTGAATCATGACGAATTCGAATCTTGCAGGGGAGTCCGGGGCTCCGAGACACCTGGTCTCCGGCCAGAAGCAACATGCAGGGCGGCCCTTCGCTGGGCTCCAGCACTAGGGAGGGGCGGGGCGTGAGGGACGGTCTTGGGGTGTGGAATGGAGTTCCTTCCTGCTGACCAGAGTCAAGAGTGGTCCAGTCGCCAGCGGCGGCGGCGGCATCAAGGCGAGCCTCCAGCGCAGGAGTATACTCGAGGGAAGGGCGCGGGGTAGACCATGGTGTGCCCTCGGGCGGGGTGCGGTAGGCAGGGGAGCCCAGAGGTGAAGATTCTGCCGAAGAAAATAAGGGAGAGGCGGCACGCGACCGTGGCGTCCACCACAGTTTAGCCGGACCTGGCGGCAAGGTCAGAGAATCCCGACGGATTAAGGCGTCTCCTGTACAATATTCTGGAGGCGAGTCATTGAGTAGAGGATCAGAACAAGCTATAACGGAACAAGCCACTGTTGACGACGGGGCTACGATGCTCTGCACTGTTGGTGTCACCGAGCCTAACTGAAGAGGGCGGGAGTAGGAGAGACTTCGTCCAGATATGATGGAGGCAGAAGGCGAGATGCCCCTGTGGCTTACAGCGCCAGTCGACCTCCGCCGCAGCTCCACCGCCGCAGAAACACCCGCCTCATCCAGGAGTGGCCGCGTCTCGCTGTGGGGGCACTCCTCCACCGGACTATAGTAGTCTCCAGATAGAGATTTTGACAACCTGGAGACGATTTGGTACTCCTGCTGATTCCTTCCTCTACCATCCTGCTGTCCGCTGCTCAGCGAAGTGCTGTCCTGTGGCCCTGGGACACTAGCTTGATGTGCCATCTCTTGTGGCATATAATGTCTCACAGCTTCAGAGTGCGACTCAAATGTGAGATCAGCGGACTCGGTTAGGGACGACATGCTAAGTCTCTCCCCAAGGTCCAGGCGATGGGACTCGCCGCTCAGGTTATGCTTGTCTGTCACCTCGTCCAAGAAGGTGGCCTCCATGCATGCTGCAGATGGCAGATCCTCCAGCGAGGTTGAGAAGGGAGATGACGAGGAGAATGGCGATACCGGGGAGGCCAAAGCCAGCATCTGCGAAGTGATGGATTGAGGGGACAAGAGGAGGCCGCTGCCATCATCACAGGGATCCTCTTCTGTAGGAGTGAGTGGCAGCAGGAAGCGAGGCTGAGTCGCCGCACACTCCTCGCTGAGATCCCCCACTGCTCCGAGCTCGCTCCGACAGATGGTGAAGGGGAAGGCGTTGTGTCCCTCGCCTGTCTTACCCGGGAGAGGGGACGACTCTGGAGGAGCTGTTGGCATGAGGGGCGACCTCGACGACATGGTGGAGCTACAAGACAACACGTCCTCAGCCTCCTCGTGGAGCACCGACAACTTGCGGGACATCCTTGCAGCGTGCAATGAAACATAACATGCTTAGATAACTAACAACATGCTTAGATAACAAAGTAATAACATGTGTTACATATTCTATAAAACAACTCACGCACGCGCGCGTGCACACACACACATACATATCACTCACTTTTAAAAGAATGATAAAACACGGCATCACAATACTACACTATTGAATGTATTCATAGTAATAAAACATATATATTATTTAAAACTATATTACTATATAACTGGTGAATGCCTGCAACTGCTTGTCAGAATACTCAGAACAAATTAAATAATTAAAATCCACGAGTGGAGTTTACCCGTGCCACGGAGACTCGAAGGTAGCCAACAACCAATGGGATTCAAAGGACGGTGGTTCCCTTTCAGCGTCACGTACCTAACTTCTCGACCAATGAGAGTGGCGCAGCGTCATGTACATGAGAGTGGCGCAGTGTACGACATCAACTTTACTCTAATTCGAGCCTCTTGTATCCTGGTCCACCTTCCCCGCCAGGCCTGGGACCTCGCCAGTAAACATGTGGCCATTTAGCGAGCCTCTACATCATTTCCTCAATCGTGGAGGATTAGTCTGTATTTATTGAACATTTTACGAGCTTGGCTACGAGGCGGTATTTGACGCCATGTTTGAGGACAGATGCAAAGATTTCGTATGTGGGCACTTAAGTGTTTGATAAGAATCCTGGTCCACCTGTTCTTGGATTCAAACGTCTTCAGCGTGTATAGTGACCGAAGTTGGCTACTTAGTTGGATTCGCTGCTTCAGGTGCCTCTTGCAGCGGCTGGGACCAGTATTCTTTCTTTTTTTTTTTTTTTTTTTTTTTTTTTTTTTTGAGATATATACAAGAGTTGTTACATTCTTGTACAGCCACTAGTACGCGTAGCGTTTCGGGCAAGTCCTTAATCCTACGGTCCCTGGATTCATCAAACATCACAATCATCAAACGTATTCATCAAACATTTACACAATCTGTGCATCTTGCCTTAATCATGGCGGCTTTGTTTACATTCATTAAACAGTTTATGAACTTCGAAGAACTATGAGGCATTAATAACCTTGAGTTGTTAAGTTACAAGCGCGAAAACCGGTTAATAAATGTAAACAAAGCCGCCATGACTGTTGAAAGGAGCTATTAGGACGACACCGGGACGAGGATAAGGATGCCGGGTGTTGTAGGTGGAGGTGCTAAGGAGCCGTAGCCGCAGATGGTGCTCCCGCCAGCGGCAGCAGCCGCACACTGACACCACCAGCGCGCCAACACCCTCATTATATTGATGCTCACACCATTACAACCTTCTGATTCTTGTCTCGTCACCACTGCTGGGCATCCCTCCCTGCAGGGAGAGCTGAGGGAGAGGCTGTGTGTGTACTAACATTGTTCTACTTGCCTGGTTGTGCTTGCGGGGGTTGAGCTCTGGCTCTTTGGTCCCGCCTCTCAACCGTCAATCAACTGGTGTACAGATTCCTGAGTCTACTGGGCTCTATCATATCTACATTTGAAACTGTGTATGGAGTCAGCCTCCACCACATCACTGTCTAATGCATTCCACCTGTTAACTACTCTGACACTGACAAAAAGTTCTTTTTTACTGTCCCTGTGGCTCATTTGTGTCGTCAGTTTCTACCTGTGACCCATTGTTCGTGTACCACCTGTGTTAAATTTTATGTCTCTATCAATTTCTGAGAATCTTGTATGTGGTGATCATGTCTCCCCCTAACTCTTCAGTCTTCCAGGGACGCGAGATTTAGTTGAAAGTAACTCAGATATTTACGTTTTCTATGCATCGGACTATCAGTTAGGCGAGTTGCTTGGGTTTGTTCGTTTCTGGCTAGGCACAAGAAAACAGTCGCATTTTTTACGGAGGGACAAAGTGAGAGAAGAGTGGAGCAGCCGGATGTCAAGGAGGACGAGAGCCGCCACAGTCGCCTCTTACAGGTTACTACTGAGACGGCTTCTTTAATCTTAACACGACAAAGGAGCGCTTGTTCCGCTAATGAGCCCAATTACCAAATCACATTATCCGCTAGTTAGCTCCCCCCCCCTCTGGTAATTAGCCCGACGCGGATCCCACACAATCACCCGCCTTTTATGCAGGTGAGGATAATGCGTGTAGTTTATAGTGTGCTAACTCACAGTGGCTCTGTTGACACCTTACACCATACTGGTGACCTCTGCCCCTCCTGTCCTCACACTTACCCAACTGTTGACACAATCGACTCGACCGTCATGATTGTGGTGCTCTAATGAAGTGAGGGTTGGAGGTCCCTGTGCCCATCTTCACCACCTTCGAGGTCAACCCCGGAACTCTCAGTTCCTGCGACGGCGCTGGAACCAATCGTATTGGCGTCTGCCTTTCCATTGGAGACTTTCAGCGCCGTGGAGAGAGGGGACCTGCTGCCTGGGTAACAGCTTCTCCCCCGTATCAACCTACCCTGGGTTTGTGCCCTGGTGAGGCCACTCCAGACCGACAACCAGAGCGCAACTCCATAGTCTCCTGAGACTGATGGATGACTACTACTACTAATGAAGGTCAAAGCACCATAATATTGATGCATCCTGGGATTAATAAGCATCGGTTCATGTGTTTGTATACAAAACCACTGCAAATTTAACGTTCGTTAAGTAATGGGAAC